AATGCAAACCATACATTTTATAAGAAAACGTAAGGAAAAATTAAATTCTTTCTTACATAACTTCTCAGCATCATTAAGATTTTATTAATGTAAAATTAATCTTAAAATATTTTTACACCATAAAAGGAACATCTTATCTTCACACAAAATTCTAAAGATGGATATAGACTATTAACTGGGATACTTTGTCTGAAAGTGGATTTTAATGGAAGTGATGAAAAATTAAAAATTTTCCTTATTTCCAAAAAGATCCCATATAAAATCTTTAAAAAAATTTCAAAAATTATTGCATGCAATTAATTTACAAGCCAGTAGTGGGAAAATAAAACAAGATAGAAATCCTTTCCATATAAATTAGTTTAAAATGTTTGAATACGTAGAAAATGTTTTAAAGATTTTTAAAATTTTAGTATAACTTTTTAGTTAAATTTTAGTTATCATATAGTACAGTTAGTTATCATATAGTACCTGCGGCTCCAAGCCACATGCGGCTCTTTGAAGGATTATTTGTGGCTCTCGATAGATGTACCTGAGTTCCCTTTTCATTTTTGTGCTATTATATTTAAAAAAATTATTATCGTTCCGTATGTGTTTCAAAATGTCTTTTAAATTACCGAGAACAAATATAAAAAACTAAGAGCAACGTTGTTCAATTCAAGGTGAGTTTTCCATTTCCAATATAATTATGACACAAAAAGCATCTGGAGAATTAGAATTAATAGAGATGCAAGAAGATCAAGCTCTACTTTTAAAATATAAGTCGACGTCGATATCTGAATTTTGGAAATTTGTACCAGAATGGAAGTATCCTGAATTAAAAAAGGCTGCTTGTCGAATTATTTCAATATTCGGAACAACGTACTTATGTGAATCATTTTACTCTACTTTAAAATTCGTGAAATCCAAACACCGATCAGTATTAAATAACCAGCATCTCAAGGAATTACTGAGAAGTGCTATCACCAATTATTAACCAAATTTTAAAGAATTATTAAGAAGAAAATTAAATACACATATTTAGTACTTTTACTTATATGTTTTCAATAAATATAATTTATGTAAAAAAAATTTAACACCTTTTTTTTGCATACCTTTTAAATACGTTTTTAATTGTGGCTCGCGAAAAATTTCAAATTTTGAAAAATGGCTCGACTATCAAGGAGTTTGGCCACCCCTGATATAGTAGAATCACTGCAGTATAAAAAATAGTGCTATTTTTATATATAAAAGTGCAATTGCGAAAAATACAAAATTACCTGCACAATACGACTGAGAAGACAATCAGCAGCAATCCTTTTTTCTCAGTCTATGCTTCCACGCGTCCCAACCTTCTCTTTAGTCTTGTACCCCAAAGTCTCGTTCATTCTGGTTTCACATACAACTTTATTGAACAGTTGATGAAGTGAAAACATCTGGATGACTGCATTGACACGGCATCGCCTCAAAAGTGACAGACACAGCTAAAACATCAGCTGAGAACAGACACCTCATATAAAACTTAGCTATAAATGAAATTGCATTTCAATCAGATGTAATACAATAATTATAACACACAAAGTTAGAAAAAAATTCAATAAGAAAGTTTAAAGCTAATTCCATGAACTAATTTAGAAATTTAAACTAAGGTTGATTGCTGGGTAAAAAAAAAAATTCTTTATTTTATTTCATTACTGAAAAAGTGGTAACAAAAATTAGTAATAAAATAAACAGGAAATCTAAAAAGCATAGAAACAGTGTAATAACTCTAGAAAAAGGCATCTGATCAGAAATTGGAAATTAAATTTGATCTCACTCCATGGGAGTGGCCTAGATTCAGAAAGTAGGGAGAGAATAGAATTCGATATTAAGAAAATACCAATAGAATTTACACTAAAAAATGTCTATATTTATTTGATCTGATATGCAACTGGTTGAAAAATGTCTTTAAATAATTTGAAACTCATTTTAATTCAAAATTACAACACCATCTATGAACCAAAATGAGAAAACCAGTAGATGAAATTGAGGCATTTTTTCTGGTGAATCCGAATCTGCAATAAAAAAATGGTTTCTATTTAAGAATTGCATTCCCTGGCTCCACCGCAAAATAGTATCATTGAATACATTTTTTCTAAAATATGTGATACTTCTTTTTAGACTTGTGACATTGATCACTTTTATATTTTTTGGACACTCTGTTTGTGCATATTTTATTAAATTAAATGCAAGTATAATGTTTTAAATATCAAAAAAGAGGGTATACTTGTGCCAAACTCAAATTATTAGTCTATTAAGGTAAAAATTAATTTATGCTAGAGGAAAAATAATATATCTAATGTTAAGAAGGGCCCTTTAAACGAGTGCTAAAATTGTCAAACCCATTAAGTAATCGGTAGAAGGCTACCACTCTGATCAGCATTTATAGATTACTAAAGACACTAACTTTTGTAAAATTAGATATAGGAATAAATTTATTTAGAGGTTAAGTTGGTGTAAAATCATTCCCTTCCTTATTTTGAAATGTTCATATAACATAGAAAAACAGTTGATCACACTAATTACAGAGTTTTCCTATGGTATGCCTAACGGCCAAATGTCAAGCAGTGTAAAAGAAAAAAGCTTACCAGTTGTACCCTCTTCTTCATTGACATCATCACGATCTTCAAGGAAAGCTGGCATTGCATCTTGAATGTTCTACTGTTGACACGTTACAAGACTTCGCAAGAACACTTTCTGCTAGTAAATCTTGGGCATTAAGAGTATATTCACTAAAAGGCGATCTTATTTCAGAAAATGAAGCAATTCAGAAGTATCAGCAAGCCAAAAAGCCAGGATAGTTGCATCTCGATATCCATCCTAATAAAAAGAGATAAATGAAAACTAATTATCCTCTAAATAATGATTGAAAAATAATATAAAAAAAGGATATATTTTAAACCATACAAAAACTGTTAAAAATGTCAGTGCATATATTTTATACATAATTAAAAAGAAAAATTATGAATTTATTTTATTATTAAAGGCAACACAAGCAGATAAAAATTATAATATATACAAAATTTTATACTTTACTAGCCGTAAAAACTGCTAAGAAGCTAAACAAATGTAACTTTTTTATTCACATAGAATATAATGAAATTTAAGAAAATTTGTTTTAAAAATTTTAAATTTAATTTCATGAAATTTTTGTACAATTAATTACAATACCTCAGTAATTTCTAAAATTTCAAGGCATTCAACTAAAGGCTTGAAAAAAATCCACAAAAATTTTCAGCTTTGCATACCTAAAATTAGTAGTATACGGTATTGTTTTCAACTAATTAACATTGAATAAGTAGTAGGGTTATTAAAGAAATATTAAAATTCGCTTTCTTTTTTTTAGTTTACACAGATTCAGATACATAAATCTAAAAAAAATGCTAATTGACAATGACAAATAAAATTTCAACTGAAATACATAACTTATTGATGATTGAAGGAAAACTAAATTTTAAGAACCAAAAAGTTAATATTTAATGGGCTTAACTGTATGAGAAAATTTTTAAACTATTCAAAAAATTCTAGAAATTTTTCACATTATAAAAATTTATCTAAATATAAGAGCTGAATCCAATCACCAGACTTAGGTAAAATGAAATCTGTAAACACAAAATCTCATAAATAAACTATCTGCAAGCAATCTATTGATCCTTACAACTATCTTTCATCCTAACCTAATTCTGACAAAATTTGTTCAAAATTTTCTGATTTTTTTTACATGTTTTAATTTTTATAAAAATTTACATCGATTAGTATATGTACCAACACATCTTTCTTTAGCAGTTTTAAGTTATAAAACTAGTTATTGAACTACCAAACTTTTTATCGTATTCCAATCATAAATTTTTCGTCAACAGCGTTTGCATGCTCTTGTATATTATGTCCGCCAATCACTTATTTACAAACATTTGACTTAAATATTCAATAAACTAATAAAATCTATTACCTGTATAACTTGATGCATTACAGCTACTACATTGTTCATCAAAGCTGTCAGCCTATGAGCACGATCATTTGGGGGTAGTTTCGGGCCTAAAATGTGTAGAGGCACGATATCGAGCAGCCATAGACAGAGCATATGTTGGTGACAGCACTTGACTAGGATCTAGCTGAGAAATTGATGCAGCTAGAAAAGCTTCTTCACCTAAAAATTTTAAAAGAAAAACATTAATTGAAATATTTAAGTAGTTTAAGATTAAATTTTCTTTAAAAAAAAAACAATTTTCTTTCAATTATTATATACAATGTTGAATAGTGAAAAATCTCATCCGATTTTGTCAACAAGTAACACGACAACTACAGACATCCAAAAAATACTGCCAACTAATTTTTTTAAGTGATCCAAAATTAACGAGATCAGATAACATAGTGAATCAAATTTTTACATGGTGAATTAGTAAAAGTATGAGTAACTTCGCTATTAAGAAATGAGCATAATCTTACTACTAAACTACATATTAGCAGAGTTGGGATAACTTGAATTTTAAATATAAGAAAATATATATATATTGTTTTTGATTTTTTTTTGCTCTAGTTTTCTACTTTTGTGTTAACTGATTTAATTCATAATTTAAAAACCTTTTTTTATAGCAGTTAGCAACTATATTTTTTGCTACCTACAATTGTATTTAAAAAACTGGGATCCTCTTTCAACAGACCACAAATAATTAAACAAAGATACAAACTTAATCAAAACTACCTATTGCTCTCCTCGCTAACACAAACAATGCATGTTACGAAAAATATAAAATTAATAGAAAATATGACTAAATTTTATCAAAACCATTTAATTTAGGGTGTAGATAGAGTTTTTGTGCATTAAATCAACTTGATGCAAAAATTCCTATTGTATAGTATTTGTATCTGTATAGTTCTGTTCATATTATATAGTATATTATTTAAATATTAACAGAGGGAACTCGCAGCCATACAAAACAAATAAACTTCATTTTGCAATATGACAAAAATATAGCTTACATTAAAAATCTATGTCCAAATACAAGCTTCATTCTATAACAGGACAAAAACATAGCTTACATTGAAGAATCTATACTCAAATAATTTAGGAATAAACTACTGCAACATATACTTACATATATTTGCAACATATACTACTGCAACTTAATATTTAGTTATACTTTAAGCAGCTTTACAATTTAATCGATTAAAACAGAGATGTGAGCATTTTTGAGATATGGCATCACTTTTTCTAATATGTAACATGATTTATTAATTATTTATACAAAACACTAAGTTAAATTTACTTCCTGCATTCTTTGTCATTGAAAAAGCTTTAATTATAAACAATTAACTTTTGACTAATTTTCAAGATACAGAGTCAATAAATCAATATAAACAATCCAGTTTTAGTATCTTTTAGCAGATCATCTTTACATGAAACACACCAGCTTTAACTAAAATACTTTCTCAATCAACAACAAAATTGAAACAGATTCCCCAGAAACAGTTTTCAACTTTAATACTTACTTTTTTAACTAACAAGTAATAGAGCTTTTACTACACAGAGAAAGTATATGCAATTAACATTCAAATATGCTTAAAAGTACTTTTTTTAATTTTAAAAGGAAATAAATAAACTTTTCTAAACTTTTTAGGAAAATAGAAAAGGAAATATTTTTTTATAAAACCATACCATCTTCCCAGAATTCTAAAACAGCTGGAAGAATAGGATCATTGCCCCTCTTCTGCTCATATCTCTCACTACTGCGTCCATGTGTACTTTCACGACCTAATGACCTATGAGAAAGAGCATCGTCAGACTTTTTGGAAAGACGCTCATATCTGGAATGTGTGGATACTGTTTCTGCATTGCCATCTGCATCAAATGTAGTTTCATAGCTACCATGATGATGAAGGAACACCTGGTCTTCCCTTCGACTTCTGTGAAAAATAAAAATTATTTATTAAAGGAATTACAGTGAAACCTGCCAAGTTGACCACCCTTGTAAGTTTGACACCTCCATAAACTGACCTCAATTATCAAGAACGGAATTTTTCCTATATAATATAAAGAAGCAAAACCTTTGCAACTTGACCACCTGTCTATCTTGTATGTTGACCACTGAAATAAGTCAATTTTGTCTATAGGTAGGAGGGTTTTAGAATAGAATATTATGAAATTCTATTCTAAAACCCTCATAAGTTGACCAGGAAAAAAAATGCAGAAAATTTTCTGTCATTATGTTAAAATTTCACTTGTTCGGTGAAATGGTGTAAAAAGCCAATCTAAACCCTTTTGTGAGTTGACCGACTGGGGAAACTGTAGGGGTCAGCTTTTGACCATTTCTCTCATTACAACATAAAATAATGTTTAATTCCAAAACCATGATACTAGTAGGTAATATTTGTTACAGCTTTAGCAGTTTTTAAAATTTACACAAAATTAATAATTTGAATTATTTCAGATGGAATGGTATATCATCAAAAGAAATAATACTATACAAATGAACAATAACAAATGTAATAATAATAAAGTGCAAATAATCATAAGGTTAAGGATAAATTATACAGCAATATCGAAATAATAAATACAATCTATTACAAAAGGTCTGTAATTACAACTTAGTTTCCTAGTCACAGTGAAATGCTGACACTAACAATTCAAAAATTGTAAGTTTATAACAATCTGAAAATGACTTGCCATATTGCAAAAACTCTCAATTCAGTTTGTTATCGGTAGACAAAAGCAGTCTATTTATATATTTTAAATCAAAATATGTAGTGGTTTGAAATATGAGAAAGGTGAATATGTTTATTTCATTTTTTTAAAGCTCCTTTATCGTTGTTTTAATATTAAATGTGTGTATTTGCTTATAAGATTACTATAACGACAATTGCACTTGCTGTCAGGGCCGGATTAAGACCTCTTGAGGCCCTAAGCACTGAAAATATTTTGGTGCCCCCTCCTCAACAAATCAAATATATTTAGTACTAAGTCACGAGTTAATTCAAAATATAAAATCAAAATTTTTTGTAAAAAAAAGTATTTATTCAAATTAAATAAAAAAATTAAAATAGAATCAATTGAAAACTTTTCAATTAATATTAAAAAAATAACTTATGTTTGTGTGTATGTACAATGTGTAAAAAAGCAAACACTTCGAATAACTTATGATCGAAAGTTTGAACTTTTATATACTAAGACTCAAAATACTTTAAATTAAAAAAACAGACAAGTACTTTTTCTAAAAAAAGNAATGAACAATAACAAATGTAATAATAATAAAGTGCAAATAATCATAAGGTTAAGGATAAATTATACAGCAATATCGAAATAATAAATACAATCTATTACAAAAGGTCTGTAATTACAACTTAGTTTCCTAGTCACAGTGAAATGCTGACACTAACAATTCAAAAATTGTAAGTTTATAACAATCTGAAAATGACTTGCCATATTGCAAAAACTCTCAATCCAGTTTGTTATCGGTGGACAAAAGCAGTCTATTTATATATTTTAAATGAAAATATGTAGTGGTTTGAAATATGAGAGAGGTGAATATGTTTATTTCATTTTCTTAAAGCTCCTTTATCGTTGTTTTAATACTAAATATGTGTATTTGTTTATAAGATTACTATAACGACAATTGCACTTGCTGTTTAAATCGTAGTTATAATGGACTAATGGACTTACACTGTAATACTAGACAAAAAAGAACATATTTGCTGAAATAAGTAATGTAAAATTCATATTGTATAAATTGAAATGAATTAAAAAAATTTAATAAATTAACNTTACTCTGTACTTTAAGCGAAAGGCTCTCCAACAAAAAAAATGTTTTTTAGGAGGTAAAAGAGGCATAGTGGAGAAGTATAACGCTTCAACACTTGGAAGGTTAAATAATTATTAATCCATATAATTTTTTTAAATATCTATAAAACCAACCCAATTCATTTTACTAACTACTTAACTAAAGTTAAAATACATTTAAGGATAATATAAGAATATTACCTTTCTATAAATTCAGGATGCTGTCAAGGGTCCGGTAACATACCATGTTTCTAGAAAAGAGAAAAATATGTTACCAATAAACATATGCAACTGAATGTAGTGAAGAAAAATGATCTGAAAACGAAAAATGACTTACTTTGATCGAAACTTTGTTGAAAATATCCTTAATTACCAGGTCATGAAGTGGGTCAACAAATCGAAAATTATGCAGTTTTCCAAACCGTACAACCATTCCATTCTGTAATGTAGTTGAGTTTCAAATAAATCAGGATAAGATCAAGACATTTTTTGAGCAGTAGACATATACTGTTTTAGAAAAAGGCAAAGGACAAATAAAAAAAAAGTATTATAAAAGCAAATTTCAATCCAAAAGAATAGCAAAATATACTATTTGTAATTTCAGAATTACTTTGTAAACAGAACTTTTTAACAGTTATACATTTATTTATTTTCACAAATTTATTAATGGTGCACTGAGCAATTCACAATAGTTTGAGATCAATATGTGTAGAAAATATTTATAGTAATGTTGCCTTAAATAAATAACTGGAGTCAATTAGCTAATATCAGGGATGAGGTTGGCTTAAAGAGAAAAAAGCTGAATTTCCACGCGAGTAAATCATACACGCCTGCAATCGTTTAATTATACATTTTAGACAATTTAAGATAATAAATAACTATGTGTCAATATATAATTAATTGCATAATAATTTCTTAATATATGAATTACATTGACACTCAGTGAAATAACCCATTGAAAAAATAAAGTTAGAAGTTTCTTCAGTTCACACAAAGGAGACAATTATTACTTGAGAATTCTGCCTATAGTTCAGTACTACTGAAAACCTTCAAGTTCTTTTAATAAATACTAATATGTGATTTATAAAAAAATTATCAGTAACATAATTTTTTTTAATTATTTAGAAAAGAAAATTGGAATCATTATGTTCATATTATTATCTAATTTAGATACAGCTCTGTGAAACATATTATAAATTGTGAAGTAGAAACATTTAATAACTTCTTAACATACAAAAATTGCTATTTTAGTGTCTTAAAGTAGTTTGAATTTCTGTTCATCTTTGAAAATCGGAAAATAAATATGATTGTTATTTCAACAGCTGAATTTTCAGAAAAAGCGGAATATTTATTAAAAAAAGTGAAACATTTAGAGAAAAATCGGAGTTTTCCATAAAAAAAAATTATAAAAAAGGCGGAAACTCGAGAGACAAAAGCCAAAAATCCGCTAGAAAGCGGAAAAATCTCATCCTAGTAATATTCGCTCATACCAATATTAAATTAAAATTTGTAATTGAGTTTAAAACTTCGATAATAAAAATAATTTTATGAAGGAGTTTGATAATCACGAAACAAAAGCACAGTAAATATGCCAGTTAATATTTTTTACAAGTAAAATTTAGTAGATGATGCCTCAATTTTTATAAATTCTACGACATAATTACTGCATAGCTGATTGGAACTGATTGCTGATTTAAAATTACATGAATTACATAAATCAATAACTATGAAACTACAAAATTCAACTCTACTGAATTTGTTACTGCATTTGTTGAGAATAATATATGAGTATTATAACATTTAAGTCATTACCATAAAAAATTCATAATATAAAATAGTTAATTAAGTTATCTTTTCTGTAAAATCACATAATTCCATTATAATTTAAAAAGTTATGTGGAGAAAGCTATTTGTCTAAAGTATGAAAGCAATTAGTAGGCAATTCCTTAATTTGAACTATCGAATTTTGCTATTTTTTAAACATTATTAAATTAAATAAAAACATGCTGGATCAATATCTGATTTTTCAAATCAATTATTATAAAATCCACATTAGTATTTGTTGAAAATAACATTCTGTAGGCACCCAACTACTAACCCTGGAAAACTTGAATAAGCATTTATATAAACAATTTATATGACTAACTTCAACTATAAATTAAACTGAATTATTTGTTCACAAATTATTCAGTTTACATTTTGAACACAAATGTAACAAATATTTATTTTAAACAAAACTAATAGGAATATTTATTTACAACTGATAAATTACACAAAACAGTTGAATACTTATCAATTTTTCAGAAAGATATATTAATAAGTACTGCAACATAGTAAAATAATTCTTTTGCTATGTTTTGTCCACATGAAGAAAATTATAATTGTAATGAAATTATATAAGTTTCGTATTTAGAATAAGTAAATGGTAATTCATACCTACTAATTTTAAGAACTGGAGGGAGAGAAGAGCGCCATCGAAGTGAAGCTTTTCAATCAATACCTATTTAAATAGAAGGATTATAACACTAAAAAATGAACAAATTAAATTGATAAATATAGAAAAGGGAAGCAATTCATAGTGACTAAAACAACATAATCACTGGAAATGTGATTCATGAAGTTATCTAAATTTATTAGCATCATCAAATGAGTTAAATTTATTGTAGTTTTAAGATGTTGTAGTGTTTGGTAGGTAATAACATATGGATTAGTATTTCCATAAAATCAGTCTCTTGCATGTTTAGTATTTCTCCAGTTAAACTGAATGTTTAATTAATTACAATATACATTATTTACATCAAAACAACATATTTTTAAAAATTTATTAAAAAATAACCAATTTTTATTTAGGAAATATTTCTGCTAAATGTTAATAATCCACATTTGGCAACTTTTATCCATCTTTTTCGCAAATTACAGTTGTTTGCAATA